ATCCAAACAAGCATGGAAAGCCAAAATCAACAATATAGAATTTAACATGTAAATGAATCAGGAACAAGAAGAAAGCAGTAACTATTAGATTATGACATCACCATTAATATAAAGCAAGACTATCCACCATTAGACTATGAAATCACCACCATATTATAAAGGGAAACGAATAAAACAATGTAATAAACACAAAGAAGCTACCCATAAGTAGATTACGAAGTCACTATCAGATTAAGAATGTAGGTTATGAAGTTACTACCAGATTGTGAAATTAGATTATGTAATCACCATTATATTATGAAGTTACCAGCAGACTACGAGGTTACCACTATGTTATGAAGTTACTAGTAAACTATGAAGTTACAATTATGATATGAAGTTACTGACAGATTATGAAGTTACTTTCATGACCTAACGCAAGTCGCATGTGACTTACATAATATAATTATATCATGTAAGTCACATGCGACTAAAGATTTAAACATTTAGTCAAATTAAAAATAAGTTTAAATAAGCAACCTTAGGTATAACTATAAAAATATTGTGATTATAGAAGAGGTTTTTTATATAGCAGAGGATTTATATGATGTGATTGTATAGGGTAGCTGTAGTGGAGGTCAACTGTATATAAATTCAATTATCAAATTTTGATAATAAAAATAACTAAGCATTTTTGTTTAATTAAAAATTGAAAAGTTTCAAGTTTTTTAATTAAATATTTTTAATTACTATATATAATAAAGGCTTAATTTTATAAAAGTATATAATTCAAATAAAAACTTTATTTAGAATTTTATGGTTTCAAAAAGTCATATTTTTAATAATAAACTACTTATACATAGGTAGTCACGTGAATTAAAATTCGACAAAAAATTTTTTGAGAATGATCGACAGTAAGGTGCATAAATTTTTTTTTTGTTTAAAACCTTTAAAACCCAAAATATTTACCAATGTAAATTATGGCGAATATCGTTCAACCTCTTTGTGTACCCTCTTCCTATAAAGATCAACAATATCAGGTACTTATTTCCTAACTTTTTATTTTTAACTTCTCTTGTTCGTGTTTAACTAAGAAATATAAATGTGTTTTCAAAGGGCACCTCAACAGACCTTGCAAAAGATCTTTCAAATAGCACCACGTTATATGTTGGAAATCTTTCTTTTTATACTACGGAAGAACAAATTTATGAATTATTCTCAAAAGCAGGAGAGATAAAAAGAATTATTATGGGATTAGATAAATTTCAAAAGACCCCTTGCGGATTTTGTTTTGTCGAGTATGTAAATTATTTTTTTCTGATTATTTTTTCTTTTTAGAAATTAATAAATAATTATTTTTTTTGATGTAGGTATTATCATCATCAAGATGCATTGGATTGTATGAAATATATAAATAGTACTAAATTAGATGAAAGAATTATTAGAACAGATTTAGATCCAGGATATCGAGATGGTAGACAATTTGGTAGAGGTAGATCAGGGGGGCAAGTACGTGATGAGTATCGCCAAGATTATGATACAGGTCGTGGAGGTTGGGGTCACGTTCGTGCTAGGCAAGAAGCTGAACGTGCTAGAAGACAGAAAGAAGAATACGAAGCCATTACTATTATTCCAAGCGGTGCTCAAGAATATAAAGGAAAATGTATTTATCGAGAATATTTTTTTTTTTTTGTATTTATTTTATAATAAGATGCAATAAGGTTAATTATTTATAAACTTTTTAGCTTCGGGCTCCAAAAAGCGTGATAGGACAGAAGATGATGAACGTGAAAATCGTGAAAAAACCATTAAAGTATGTATTATTTGTATTAAATGGATCTTTTCAACGGATGTTTTTAATTAATGAATTCCTTTTTAATATTTTTTTTTTTTTTAAAAAAAAAAAAAAGAATCCACGCTTCAGAGAAGGACGATCAGATGATGAAGATGAAATGCAGACTGATGTTTGAAATCCATTGATTGGTAAACAAATTATCAATGTACTTGTCTTGTTCCCATAATCAAATTTATTAAATAAGAATGTATATAGAGGTTAACAGTTTCTTGTTACGTGTGTTCCATAATAACATTTATTATAAGAAATATCATTCTAGTTGTAATCCATAATATTCCTCTAAATGGTCTATAATTGCAGGGATGCTTGTCAAAGTATTAAAAGATTTTTTCTCTGCATTACTCATAACATCCTCAAACATATACATCCTATAAACAAATTGTTTGTGAGTACGGAAGAATAAAAAAAATAATAATAATAATTAATTAAAATTAATAAACATACAAATGGTGATGAAGTATAAAATGATTTGATCCATAAGCAATGGATAATCTAACAAAATTTTCAACGCAATCCCAAGGAGTAAGATCATAACCGGCAAATAAAGCAGGATTTCTTAATAAACCTCTTGCACACATCACTCCGTTCACACCAGTTTGGTTATAAATATTTTCTGCATCATTTAAAGTAAATATATTTCCATTTGCAATAACAGGAATTTTTAAATTTTCTTTAATCAGTTTTATTGCACTTAAATTTACCGGTTCAGTTGACTTTTGACGACGTGTGCGTCCATGTACAGTGATGAAATCTATCCCTATCGATTCTGCCCTTTTCACGAACTCTATCGTCTTCCTAAATGATAAGATGAAAAGGAATTAATATTTTGAGAAAAGCGTTTAAATTAACGTGATATTTACCTCAAGTCATTATGAATTCTAATTTTAATTGAACACGGTAAAGTCGGTATGTTTGTTTTAATGGTTCGAATCATATCACTTATTAGTTCGGGTTTCTCCATCAAATAAACTCCAATTCCTTCATTTATTGCCCATCTTTGCGGACATCCACAATTAACATCTATTCCGTCAACATAACCAACTATTAATTCGACGGCTTTTAATAATTCAACATTATCATTACTTGCAAACTGTATTATTAATGGTTTATCATTTTTATTGGTGGTAAAATCGGAATTCCTTGCAATATTTGAATTTTTAAATTCTTTTGCTAAGATCATTGGTGTGTATGTTAAATCTACATTATAGCTACAACGGAAAAATTGTTAAAAAAGAGAGAGAGAAAAGATGAGTAATTTAATGATTAAAGTTTCTTACCCACGAACCAACTCACGAAAAGGCAATTTACTATATCTAACCATCGGTGCGCATACATTGATATATTTTTTAGGATTAGAGTTATTAATATTAAAAACTTCTAATACCGAACTTCTGGTAGACATTTTTTTTTTTTCGATAAATTAGCTGCGTATAAAATATTTTCGACTATGATGTAATAAATAATTAACGATAAACCCCGTGAGAAAAAAAATCATTTTAAATAAAATTCCGAGTTCGGTTATCGTAAACATTAACAAAAAGAATTAATTCGGATTAAAAGAAAAGATAATCAAACTTTGGACCAGAAATAAAAAGCGGAAATTAAAAAAAAACTATAACATGACCGAATTTAATGGTCCTTTTGAAAAACATGAATCGGAAATTACATATTGCGTGACACAAAATTCTAAATGATAATTGGTTTACATCAAACAAACCTTCCGTATAAAAAAACTCACTTTGTCAAAGTTATTGGTCCCTCAAAATTTTCGACAAAGTTGATCAACAAACGCGAACTCAGGATTTGTTACCTTTTATGTCGAATTCCAAAGGTTTCAAATTAAAATGCAAGTAAACCAGTTGAGAAGCAAGAGATACGAACAAAGACAATTGCTGAAAACAGAAGGGATTTGTTATTTTTAAGTAGTTCGTATCAATCTGGTTACACGATAATTTTTTTTGCGTTGTAATAAGTCTATCTCGCTCAATATCGCTCCAATTTTTACGAAATTAAATGATTCTTTGATAACTCGTTAAAAATTACATCATATATTTTTTCTTTTTTAATACTTTTCCCACGAGCGGAGATATTAGGTTCATTTTGAAGTAGATTGTTTTGCTTGTGATGTTCGATGAGTCCTACACAAACAATAAATTAATCCATTTAGAGAGAAAACTTATGTAGAAAGTATGGGATATTTCCCGATTAGGTAAATGATTTTGCTCTTTTTAAAACTTTAATTTTTGTCACTTGTGGCATTCGTTAAAATCATGCATGTAGTAAATCGCATTATTTCAAGTCCAAAATTCGCTTTCAAAGAAAAAAAAATAATTAATAAAATAAATATTAATGTTCACTACCAAACTACGAAATTTATTTTGAAAGCTCTCGAATTAATTTTTTCCGAACATATATGATTTTTCATTGAGATTATCTAAAATTGGGATTTCTTGATTCAAAATTAAAAAAAAAAAAAAACGAGAAAAAAAAAAAACCTGAAATCTTATTTATAAATATAGGGAAAAATACTTGTTAATTCAACGGTTTATCATAGGAATCAGTAACACAAACAGCGGTCAAGTCTATAAATGCAAATAATCAACTGATAATCTAACTATCACGTGCTCTTGTTTACTTCAAGTATATAACACTTCAAGTTGACGATTTTTGTCAGAAAAAGGATTCGTTTCGACCAAACAAATTAGTATAAAACAGCCAATTAACGTTTATACAAGGTTATGAAGAGCTCAAGTCAGAGAAAACTAAGATCTCAAGAAAGAACTGGAGTCAATGAATCGCTAATGACCCAGTTAACGAACGTGAACGAACAATTATCAACTCCTCCCGTTCAATCAGTCAATCAATCTTTTAATCAACATGATGCAAATACAAGTTTTTATTCTGTATCTAGTGTTCCAATTGAAGAGTTTAAAACCATACAGACGGAATCATCGAATTTACAATCCCTATCATCTGATACTTCCGAATCAAGTTTTTTTATCAATCATTCAAGCAGTTCATATATTAGCTTCTCTCGTTCATCTTCGCTTTCATTATCCAGAGGAAATTCATTTATCGGTACGGAATCTATACACTCCGCTAACAACAGATCGCGTGCAACGTCTCCCTTCGTGATCTCGGAAACTTCTTCGGGTCGTCTTCATTCCGAATCTACCCGTTCATCAGTCTCATCCGCCAATCAATCTTATGTTTCAGTTTTAAATGATGAAAATTCTTTTCATGGAGATAACTGTTCAAAACCTTTCGAAGAATCGGGACCTTTTAGACAACCACCAGCTGCTCAACGTCTAGAAAGTTTATCTGTTAAACAAGATGAATCCGAAACGAGACCGAATATTGAAAACAATGACGTACAAGTACACTTTGAAGAGATAAGACAGCATTCGGGATTTCTTCGTCATATCTTGAATCATGCGCATTTGACCTTGCAAGGAATCTTCAATGTGATGATTTGGATGTTCTTGAAAGTATATAGAGTCACTTTAAAATATTTCTTTGAACCCGTTTGGAATAAATTTAGAATTATTGGCGCGACAATAGGATTGGGCGAAAGTATTGTAACAACAAGAACAATAACTATGATAGACGCGAACCAAAGTACTGATCATAACTCAACAATGATGACAAGTGGTAATGATGCTGGTAGGACGCGATCGAACCTGGTCAAATGGTTAATTTTGTCCGCACGTGATAATTGGATGGTATATGCGGTGATAATGATGATTGTTATGCTTATTCCTTGTAACGTGACAAATTTTCAAAACTTGGAATTTTCAGAATGTATACCAAAATTTAATCATATATTTCGAAGATATAGCGATCTACAAATCTCAATGTTTTATAGATTTGATTCTTTAAATAATGATATTGAATTCGAGCAAAATGATACTTTGATTCGAGATGTTGTCGCTAATCAGGTTAAAACAGTGTGCGCAGCCGAAGTTCAAAAGAGAATTCCATCACAGAATAATGATTTGGTTAAATATCGAAGTAATCAGGTATCAGAAGGTCTTGTTGTGGATATGGTACGACAAGAAATTAGAAAAGCCGTGGAAGAAATGTTATACACTTATTCTCAAGATAAATTAAACAAAGCTGATTTTGCACTCTCAACCGGTGGCGCAAAGATTATTAGTCCACTAACTACACCTACTTATGAGCAATGGCCATCACAATGGTATGGGGTAGCGTTGGCAAAGCTAACAGGACATGGAATTACAAGGGGTAAACCACCTGTCACAGCTCTTCAACCAGATACACACGTTGGACAATGTTGGCCATTTGCCGGACAAAAAGGACAATTGGCTGTATTGTTGAGTCGCCAAATCTATGTAACCGCCATAACTTATGATCACGTTAGTAAATCTATTGCAATGGGTACAACAAGTGCCCCAAAGGAATTTGAAGTTTGGGGATTTGCTGATGTTGATTCAAATGTACCGTCAGATCATAAGTCAGATCATAATTCAAATGATGATCACGCTGAATATATCAGCTCCGTCACCAGTAGTAGCAAAAGTTATCCCACTATTGAACCAGTTTCAAACATTCTCGCATCTAGTCATTTACATTTATTTGGAAGAGATCTGAAGCTTGGTTCTTCTTCTAACCATTTGTTTTTGGGACGGTTCGTTTATGATGTAAACGGCACACCCATTCAAACTTTCGAGGTAAATCGATGGAATAAGCCTATTCGCGCGATAATAATGAAAGTGAACAGTAATTGGGATAATCCATTATATACTTGTTTATATCGATTCCGTGTACATGGTATACGCCCGGATATAAATAAAGAAACTTCTTGAAGGTATGTAAATAATCTAACAAGCTTTAGTAAGTAGTTTAATATTAATGCAACCTTTTTCTTTAAAAAAAACCCGAATACCCATCCATTGCTTAACTTTAAATTCATTTTATGTTTTGTAGGTGAAATTTTAAATAAATATATATTTTTTTTCTTATTGATAAATTTTGGATTTTTTTATTTTATTTTTAAATATCAACTTTCCAAGTTTTGTAATAAAAAACAGTTCTTATATTATACATGTGGGATTGGGGTGTTTGACATCAGTTAAATTACGATAGTGTAACCTTATTTGAGGATTTATTGCCGATTCTTTGCCGATCTTTCTTACCGTAGCGAAATAATTATTATTAAATACCTAATATTACCGTGCTTTTATTTTTGACATAAACTAATTTAATATAGAAAAATTTTTTTACAATTTATATACGAAGCATAATATTAAGTATTTTTAATAATAGCATAACTTATATTAAATTTTTGAAATGTTAACCATTACAGTAATTTACTTTACATCAAAATGATACATAATTTTCATAAACATATATTATAAGTATTGGAAAAGTTAATCTTGCTACGTCCTGGTCCTAGAACCTATAAGTCCTACAAATGGACTTAAAGCTAAATCCATATATAATAAGTCCAAGACCACCGGTACCAAGGACTTGGGTTTAAACGGATCCGATCTTGATTTAATCCAAGTACTTGGATCTGAGACTTAAATTTGATTACTTAATTTGATAATACTGTAAAAATTTAAATTATTAAGATATATATTATTTAAAAGAATCTGATTCAAATTTAGTAATATTATTTAATTCTTTAAAGGTTTAAAAATTGGACTCAAATCAGTCACATAATTAAGAAGAAATACAATAAAATATTATAATAAAAAGGTTACAAGTAACAAAAGAATTGGATGATTAATACTTATTTAAAAAAAATGAATGTTTGTAATTTTTTTTAAAAAAAAAAAAATAACAATCTTGTAAAATTACAATTTTTACTTTTTTATAGATATTGGATTTTTCAAATTTTGGATTATTTAAAGTAAATCTATAATTTTTTTTTAAAAATTCCTATATTAGATTCTTAAATCTTAAATTATTTGTCAAAAAAAAATTTTTTTTATAAAAAAAAAAAATAAAATAATTAAAATCTATCATTATTATACCAAAAAAATATAATTAATAATTAATATTATATATGATAATATAAAAAAATTATTAAATTTATTATTATCCTTATAGTAATATTATTTTAAAATTATAATAATTAATATATTATTATTTATTTAAGATATTATATAATATTATAAAAAATTTACTAATTTTAAATTTATTTAAATATTTTAATTTAGTTTAAATTTTTATTTTTAATTTTTATAATTAATTAATTTTATCTTTCTATAATAAGATTATATTTTATAATTATTTATAACTTATATAATTAACAATAAGATTTTATATATATATAAACTAACAATTTTATTCTTTTTTTAGTATTCACCACATATTTAATGTATCATACAAGCATAATGTATCATTCAAATATAATTTGTCATATAGTAAATGATAATTGTAATAAGTAGATTAATAGCTTATAATAGAAAATCATAAATAATTGATTTAATAATTTTTTATAAAGCATGTTTTTTTAATATATTTTTTTATAATTAAATTAAAGATTGTGATAAGTGAATTATGATTTTAATTAAACAACTTATTTAATAACATAATAATAAATGTTTAAAAATATTAGTGGAATATCATTAACAGATAACAAAAGGTTGATAATAATTAACATTTATCATTATTTTTAGGAGATAACTTTAAAAAGAAAAGCCATTAAAAATTCATATCATATAAGCAGATTACAGTCAAACCTTGATATAGTGAACCCTTGATATAGCGAATTTTTAAATCAAATATATTAAAATTACCTTTACTATAGTGAACTAGCCAATTAAATTCTTTAAAAAATTCGTTATAAGCTTATAAAAAAGTTGATATCCAGATTCTAGAATTCGTTATATCAAGAGTTCACTATACTGAGGTATTAAGTATAGATGAAGTTACAGTTGAAAGTGTAGTTATAAATTAAAATAGCTGTGATCAGGGTTGGGAATTTTGTATGTACTAGATAAAATTATCATTATACTTGTATTATATTTGTACTAATTTTTATATTTAATTATTATAATGTACTAACTATACTATATGTTCAATTATTATACTAATACTGTATTTCCTTACTCTAGCTATGATAATATCACATTTATTATTGCATAAAACTCTTAAATGACCTAAATCGTAACCAACAAGATATTTTGAAACTTTTATATATGAAGATTTTAAATGCTAATAAAATAAACGAACAGTTTTTTACACCTATTTTATAACAGTTTCTTACTAAAAATAAATATGAATTTTTAAATGAAAGCTTCTTTAGCTATTATACTACTTAGACTTTTATTATAATCAAGAAAAATATAGGAATATTTTATGAATTACTAAATAATATTACATTTTATTATCAATATCATTGCTATTATTTGCTAATCTAGAAAGTTAAAATGACATTCCATACTACCTAAAAGTTTTTTTAATAAGTTATATTACCATTTGCATTATAATATATACAAAACATAAGTTTTTTATCAAGATATTATTTTAGCATTTGGATATAATCTGTTAATAGTAATTTTGATATGATTATTTTATTTTATAATGGGTTTTCTAATAAGTTACATGATGAATTTGTTTTTAATTCTGTTCATATTTGAAATCTAATAATTAAACCTTTAGAAAACTAAGTACAAAAAGGAATAATACTGAAGAATAAAGCAATATTCCTAATATTATTAAAGAAGTAAATATTATTCTCAAGTAAGTAAATTATTATGAGAATTTTACTGCAGAAACCTTTTTTTCAACTCTTTGCAAATACTTTATAAAAAATATTAGTCTATAATCATTTACATTAATAGGACAAACTATCATAAATGGAAGGTTAAGAGCATTTTGACTTTAAGTACAAGGAATCAGAAAATTATTGATTGGTTAAATACATATAGAAGGTTTGCTAGAAAAATGAGGCTCTGAGCATTTTTTATTAAAATTTTAATTTTTATTGCATTTTAATTTTGATAATGTTAGATTAAAATGCAATAAAAATTAAAATTTTAATAAAAAATGCTCAGAACCTCATTTTGCTAGCAAATCTCCCATATAATATTAATTTTTTTAATGAATTAAGAAAACTGGAACTTTAAAACTGATTAAAATGATTAAGGAAAAAGTATTATTTCTTGTGTTAAAATTGCAGAGTAATATAAGTATGAGATTTTTTTACACTTCTATATCACTATGAATTATAAATTATAGTCTATTAAAGGTATTTAAGTAATTGTAAAAGATAAATTTACATGTTCAAGATCATATCCAAACCTTTTACCTATTAGAAATACTCTCATAAATGTATTTAAAAATAATTAATCTACAAGTTATTATTAGACTTTGAAAAAGAGTATTAAAAATATCAAGAATTTTTTTGAGTTTAATAAAGAAGTATATTTAAATGAAGAAGAATTTGATAATTATAATAATTTTGATAAGAATTACATGATATAATTTAATATTTATATTATATCATTTCCAATATGTATTGATATTATTTTAAATAAAAAAATTATAAGTTAAAAATTTCTTAATTAGCCTTTGTTTAAGATACAATTTTTTTTGTATTAACTTATAACAATCTTTTTATTTTCTGATAGAATTATTTGCATTTATCTTTTTACTTATCTTCTAAATATGTTTTTTAATCATTTAAGTTTTAAAATTGTATATTCTATACAATATAACAAAAAAATTATCAATTAAATTAATTAAATTATTAAGTTACTTTTTTATTTGACTGATTCTTTTTATAGGACTGGACCCACTTATTATTAAGAAAAATTATCTTTAAGTCTAATATAATAAAATTCTTAAAGATCCTATTATTATTATGATTTTTTTCTTTTTAGTTAATTAACCAATAAAATAAAAGAAAATCATAAGGTAAGATTGAATATAAAAGTTAATTTTAATTAATAACCTATTTTAGTAATAGAGATAATAATCTATTTTTACCTTTTTATATATTTATTTTTCTTATGTAAGATAATAAATGAAAAAAAGATTAGAAAGTATGCATTTTAATTAGAATAACAAAAAATAATTATAAGTATTTAAATTAATAAAAATATTAAGCTTATTATAATATTCTAATATATAAAATGAATTTAATACCTACATTTTCTTTTATTATAGATGAAAAAAATCTATCAATTTTTATAAGAAGAAACATTGTCTCTTCATAACATTTAAAGTTATCAACAAGAAGAATTTTTGCAATTTTTTTAATATTAAGTGAGTATTGACATATTTTAATATAATTTTTTAAGTATTACTAGAGTACACTAATTCAATATTTTCTTTTTTAGATTTGAGAAATACGACATTATTAAATAAAGGTATTTTTGATTAGTATATTATATAGTAACTGATTTTTTAAAGAATGCATAAAGTCTTACTAGTATAATAAAAGTTCTATATTGCAAGCTTCAAATTAACTACCTAATCTTTAAAATTAATATAAAAACTATATTTATCAACTAGTAAATATTATATTAGCTAGTTTAAAGGAAATGTTATTATACTATACTTTATAGTAATATTATATACAGATATTATCTCAGTGATTTTTAGCAGATATAGAACATCTGAAAATTTATGTCTAGAATAGTTAAAATATAGACTGATATTAGATATCTTTTAGTCATAATTAAGGTTGCTAGACGAAATCAAGAGTTTAGACAGATGTCTAAATGGTAAAAGTAAAACTTGGTTAAATTATATTA